AAACCACTATACAAACACTGGATCCAACACCCTGCGTAGAAGCAGTACTACCATGTCAGTCAAAGCTGGAACTAGCTGTAGCCTCAGAGGTCCCCTCAGCTCCAGGAGCTGCAGTGGAGCTCCAACAAGAACCCCATTTAGACGGATGTTTTGACTCAACTCCATCAACTTTGATCGAAAAGATTAATCCACCTGCAGGTCAGCCAATGGCCCACAGCCTTGCACCAACTCCAGCACCAAGTCTGGATCTTGCCCTGCAATACTCAAGTCTTGTTCTACCAAATGAAGAAAGAGTGGCTGATCCCTCAGTGCCAGGGGCACTTAGCCCAGTGGTAGCAATGGCTCTAGAGCCAGCCATTGATGCACCAATACATGCCAGTGATGAGGGTATGCGAGTGCCCACTCCAGAAGCCCAGCTGCCTGAAGGCCAGTGTGACCCAATTCTGCAACCCGCCCAAGAAGGAGAAGCATCTGCAGTTCAACCAGAGCCCTCCAAACCTATTGTAGTGAGCAGCTCAGGGCCAGAGCTAGAGGCTCCAGGAGATGAAAGCCTGGAGTCTGTTCTCGGTCCATCTGGGGAGCAAGTGGAGTCTCTCGGTCCATCTGGGGAGCAAGTGGAGTCTCTGGGTCCATCTGGGGAGCAAGTGGAGTCTCTGGGTCCATCTGGGGAGCAAGTGGAGTCTCTGGGTCCATCTGGGGAGCAAGTGGAGTCTCTCAGTCCAGCTGGGGAGCAAGTGGAGTCTCTCGGTCCATCTGGGGAGCAAGTGCAGTCTTGCCCCCTTGCTGGAGAGGCTGACTGCCTTGAGGCTGTTGCTGAGCAGCCAGAGCCACCCGCACAGGAGCCTCTGCCGCCCAGCTGGGATGTAGCACCCGTCCCATCTGTGCAGCTGGAAGCTGACACAGGCTTAGAAGGGGACATTCATCCAGTTACTTATTTTGACAAATACTATGAGCCTCCAGTGGCTGAAGACGCCGATGGTGCTCTGCCCTGTGCTGCTGAAGAAGAGCCTGCTCGCCCACCAGCTAGCGAGGCAGACAGGCCTGTGGAAACAGACCCAGCTCCCTGGGAGTGCGTGGAGATGGAGGATGTGCAGATTTCCTCCAGGGGGCCATCCCGGATTTGCATGAGGAAGTTAGACAGTGATGAGGAGACAGCTGGAGTGCTAGATTGGCTGCCCAAAGAGAAGGCAGATCAGTTCTCCATCATGGCCGTCGTAAGTAGCTTGGCAGGGCTGGGCATGCGGGCTTTCCTTTGCACCTCTACTGCCACACCTGCCTCAGGGCAGAGCCACGCTGACCATTTATTTCTTCTTTTCAGAATCTGTTCAAAAGACTCGTCCCTTACCACTGTTTGAATTACATCTATGCCGAACATGACCAGAAGGCGTGTCTGGAGCGCCTGGCACCCACTCTGCTTCCCATCCTGGAGCACTGTGAGCAGGTCTCCAGTTGTGTGATCAGCACGTGCCTTGGGGACCACAGCATGGAGGCAGCAGAGAGAGCCCAAGTGGTGCAGCACTGGATAGAGGTGGCTCTGGTATGAACAGGAGGGGCCCGGGGACCCTTAAAGCCCTCCTCCTACTCTGCCCTCACTTGGGCTGTGTGCATTCCTGCCCTGCTTCCACTGTCATTCCCCTCCCCCAAGCTGTCCCAGTTCAGCCTAGTAACAAAGGCCCAGCCCAGGCCAAGCAGGACCCCAGGAGTTTCCTCCACAGCTCTCCTCACCCATTCTTCACTCCTAGGAGTGCCACCTACGAAAAAATATCTCCACCTTCTTTGGAATTGTGTGTGCTCTGCAGAGCAGCCAGCTCCAAGGCCTGAAGAAGACGTGGAGATTGGTTTGCAGGTGGGTGCACCTTTCTCCTGGGCAACTCTTGCTTCCTCAGCTTAGCGTCCATCTTCTGGGAGCCCAATGGCAGTGCCCCATGGCAGAGACCACAGCTCTATGGCCTTGCCTAGGATTCGCCTGCTAGGTTGGGATTCCTCTTCTGCCATACATTGCACAAGGCCCTTGGAGAAGTTTTCCTTCAGAGACATCCCAGCTACACCAGTCTGTGCAGTGCTCTTCCAAGCAAAACCACTCTGGGAATTGGGGTGGAGCTGGAGGTTTCCCCTCAAGACTTTGCTCCTAACCATGTGACCTAAGGGTCACAGTGGCTCTCCTTGCACAGCTCTGTTCCCATTAGCATAAAGTCCTGCCTCAAAATGGGAAATCCATTCACACTCCTCCTCTCCCTTCCTCTCCCATCTGTCACCTTGTCTCTGCCCATCGTCCAGGGAGAAAGTAGCTGTCTATCAGGACCTGAGGAGGATACACTGCCAGGAGCAAGTCTACAAGGTTGTATGAGCCCCGGAATAAGATTTGACCCCTGGACGGAGGCAAGGGAAATTTTCTCTCTGATGGAATTCAAGGAGCATATCCAACATAGCTAGGAGAAGCATCTGTCGTGGGCTTGGGTGTGGGACAGATTGTATGGGGAACAGGAGGTCCCTGGGGACCCAGTGGAGTGAGTGGAGGAGGCCACCTGGGTGTCTGAGGAGGGTGGAGAAAGTGACAGGGTTGGGTTGTCAAGGTTGCTGCTGAGATTTCCTGTCAAGCTTCCTCCTGAGTGTGGCCTGTGTTGAGGCTGCCTCTCTACACCCCGCCAGCCTGGCACGCCCAAGCCATGCCCTGGCTCTATTTCTGGGTGGCCTTCCCTTCCCAGGAGGGATGCCTAGCCAGTCACGTGAGGTCAGGAGGTCCCTCCAGATCAGGCAGCCACAGAAACATCTTTTAGGGGATGCAAATGGCCACATCCACCATGGAGACAGGCCTTGGCATATGCTCTGGCCTGCCCAGGGATACAGTGCTGATGGTCCCAGGGAGCCTGAGATCCTAGGGCCCAAGCCATGGCTGTCACGCCACATGGCAAGAGGGGACTCTGGAGGGTTGAATGGTTAGAGAATGAGTATGTTCCACATCCATGCTAACTGCTGCCAGGGGCGAGAGTCCAGATACAAGAGCTTCTGGAAGAAACTCAAGAGAGGCTGCAAGAAGCCTCAACAATTGGTGAGTGTGCATGCCTGAGGCCAGGGGCTTTCTAGAAGGAGTAGTTGAGGGGGGTCCCCCAGCCCACCCTACCTGTTGGCCCACTCCCTTAATGCCCCATCACACCTGGCCTCTGCTCAGATGGCATGTTGCAGCAGAGTTGCAGCCACTGCACTAAGGCCTGCACAAGAGTAGAGGAGCAGGTGAAGGACAGGGCCACAGACCTTGCCTGTGTGTCAGGTGCCAGCCCTGGAGGGGCCCAGACCTAGATAGATTTCCCCATGCAGGGCTGTGTCTTTGGTATGGGGTAGAGGGTGGATCATTGAGGAATGAGGCTGTCTTGCCCCAAGTTCTGCTAGGCAGATGGCTCCATGGGGCTGTTGTGAGTCGGGTTCTTGCGAGGAGCTTAACAGGACTCTTCTGATCTTTCTGCACCCAATGCCACAGGACTATCCCGAGGGCACAGTCCCTTACCTGGGCACCATCCTCACACACCTGGCCTCACTGCACAAAGACCAAGATTCCAAGGATGTGAGTGAACAGAGCCCCAGCCCTGGGAAAGCAGATTGGGGACAAAGAGCCTGTCCCTGCTCCTTGACCTCCAGCAAGAGCCCACGTCCTCCCCAGCCCCAGAGTGCCAAGCACCACAGCAATCCTACTTGTGATGCCCTATGCCCTCAGACCTCAGTGCTGCTGATGACATGGGGCCATCCCTCAGAGGGTGGTGAGCAAGGGTGGCAGTGTGACGCAGGTGCTCAAGCTGACATAGCATGTGTGAATAGCATGGCCTTGTCACTGGAAGCCTCAAGTGTCTGCCATGTCCACAGAGAGTTGAGCAGTGAGCTCCCTGTCCTCAGGATCTAGGCCTCCCTGCCCTAGACTGAGAGCAATCCTAGTTCAGCTGTGCACCCAGCCTGCCCTCTGCTGGAAGGACTTGGTAGGGCGCCAAGTGGAAACAGCATTTTCTTAGCACATAGTCTTTGCTTTGCAGGGCTCTTGGCTGAACATAAAAAGACGAAGAGAGGTGAGAAAATGACACCTTCCTCTGCAGGCAGCCAGCTGTGCGGGTCCCTTAGGTCCTTTCTTCCCTCTGATGTGGATGGTCACATCACTTGTCCTGCAGAGGTCAGGAGATGGGGCCTTGAGCTGGGGATCTAGGACAGCTTGCTGGGGTTGGGCACTGGACCTCAGTAGAGAAAGGCAAGTGTGTTGGGGAGAGACAAGAGTGAAGCCAAGTGAAGACCCGAAGTAAGCCGCCTGGCCTACCTTGCCCTGGTCCAGGTCCATCACCACTGTGTCCTTTCTCTCAATCAGTGATGGCACTGATGAAGGAACTACAGGGCTCGTGTCAGGAGCTCGAGGTGCTTCCTGACATGAACTTCGTGTCTTGGTTTAACAACCTGAACCGCCTCAGTGAATTGGAAAGGTGAGTTGGGGTAGGCTGTGGGGGCAACAAACATGGGAATCCCCAGCACCAGTCCATGAGAGCCTGTTGCCTGAGTCAGCCTCCCACTGAGACCTGTTGAAGGAAGGGTGTATGAGCTCCTGAGTCCCCAGGGCCCCTGGGAGGGAAGCCCAGGGTGGAGCCTGCTGTCCAACCAGCTACTTCTTGTCTTAGCTCCAAGCTATCCAGGGAGCTGGAGCCTCCCCGCCGGGTACTTGTCCTGACCAGGAACAACAAGAGGAGCCCTCCCCTGGGGAAGCACTCAGGAAAGTAAGTACATTGGCCCAGGGGCCAGGGACTCCCCAGGGTCTGGGTGGTGGGACAGGCAGCCTGATGAGCTGGGGCTGCCATCCCACCACCTGCCACACAAGCCTTTGTCTGGGTGGTGTGGCCTGACCTCTGCCCACCTCACTTCCTTCATTGGGGTCCCACGGTGGTCCTCAGAGGATGGGGCACATGGGTACTTGAAAATGAACAGTAATGAAGGCTGCCTCAAGCCCAGGGGGCAGTGGGTGTGGGACAGCCCTGTGTGCTCAGGGAAGCCCTGGAATTAAGGCAGTCCCTCCATTCAGTTGCCAGGCTTTGACAAGAGAGCTCAGCAACAATGGTAGTTCCCAGTTGGAGACAAATGATCAGCTCAGCGGTGGGAATGGCAGCCATGTACCCAGCGTGCACTTGAGGAGCTCACCCAAGCCTTCTTCACACTGCAATTGATTGTATCAGTCTGCCCCAAACATCTACATGGCAAAGATGACAGAATATGAGGGAATCTTGCCGTTCCTGAGCCCCCAGCCCTCCAGGCAAGCTGGGCATGGGGCTCTATCCTAGGCTGTCCTTTATTCAGCCCAGATGCCTGGACTCCAACCAGAGAAAATCATATTCTCCAATGAGTTATGGGAAATGCATTGCACAATGCACAAAGACTCAAATGTCAGGTCATTTAGATTAAAAATCTATGTGGAAACACTAATAATCTGTTAAAACCATTTCTTTACAAGAGCAAGGTTTTGGTGGGTGCTTTTCTTTGCCTTCCTTAATGGCAGAGACTTCTGCATATTCTATTCTAAGAAGAAATCCTTTCAGGCTTTGAGCTCTTTTTTTTTTCCTGCAGAATGAGCAAGAGCAGGTCCCTCTAGGGGCTAGGCTTTCAGTCAGGTGTTCTCATGAGAACTGTTCCACAAGCCTTGAAATTTCAGTGTTGAAACGTCTCCTTTGCAACAGTCATCATCTGTGTGAGAAGCTGCTGGCTTCTGTGCAGGCAGGGAATCCACCTCAACCTTCTGGGAGGGAGTGGAGTCACCATGCAGGACCCTGGGGGGAAATGAAATGAGATCACACCAGACCCAGGGCAGTACTTCAGGGAGGGAGACACTGCTGAAGCTGCAAGAAGAGCTAAACGTAGTCACACCAAAATCACAGTTCTTCCACCCCAAGAACATTCCTAAAACTGTAAGCATACTGATGAAAGAAAGCACAGGAAAACATGTAAAACAGCATAGATCACAGAAAGCACATCAGTCAAATGCCAGAGCCACTCACAGATTCCTAAGGGAATATAAATCCTCTTTACCCATCATTTCACTGAGTTCAAATAATTCTTCAATAGTTGCCCTCCTGAGCTCTTATGCCAGTTACAGGAAGAAGATATATTATCTTTTCTCTATTACACAGTTGAAGAAAGCCATGGCAAGAGCACTTCCCCTTTGTGTTTACTTCACAATATGAGTTCCAGTGGACAAAATGTCAGCAGGCCAAGCAGACACACATGACCAGGAAGGAAAGTGAGGACTATGCTCCTAGAATCACCCACAGAGCAGTGGCAAAAGAGCCCAGCAAGAGAGCAATAGAGGATAATGCACACTCACCATCTGGGAAGGGAATGTTGTTTCAATCCTCCACTGTACATTACCTGCCAGGTGCTTGTGACTCACATCTGCAATTTCAGTGTTTCAGCAGCCTGAGATCTTCAACCTTATACAACTGAGATACACGCTGCCATTCCAGATATCCTTGCGGACTGTTGAAACCTAACACGGTCAAAACTTACAGCTTAATATCTATGGCCATACAGTGACAGATTGCACAGTCAGAAATCACATAGAGTTCACCTTTTCCATGAAAGCTGCATTTCATGAAATGATAAATTCTATGAGTTGCAAGAGTAGAATATTAAACTCAACTTCATAATGGAATCACTGCCCAAAGGAATGACCTAACAGCATCAGTGCTGGATGTGATGAGAGGGGCAACAAAGCTGAAGATACAATGTTTTGTTGAAAAGAGAAATGTTTCCTTTCTTCTTTTTTTTTTTTTTTTGTCGGTCATGGGGCTTGAACTCTGGGCCTGGGCGCTGTCCCTCAGCTCTTCAGCTCAAGGCGAGCACTCTACCACTTGAGCTACAGCGCCACTTCCGGTTTTCTGGTGGTTTATTGGAGATAGGAGTCTCACGGTCTCTCCTGCCCGGGCTGGCTTTGAACCGCGATCCTCAGATCTCAGCCTCCTGAGTAGCTAGGATTACAGGAGTGAGCCACCAGCGCCCGGCATGTTTCCTTTCTTCTGTGAGGAGCTTTCAGATAGCTTTCCTAATTTTGTTTTCAAAAATGATTTAGAAAGAAGTGTTCTCTTTTCAAGTCGATATTTTGTTTCAGCTATTTATCATGAATTTCTAGTTTTATTGGAATATAAGCAGAAAATATGTATCACAATTTTCAATCTTTTGGTAGAGTTTTCTTTATAAACAAAATATATTTGAGATTAATAAAGTTGTGTATTGCCATTGCATCTACTGCAGATGACCTGTGATTCTCTGCCTGTAGTAGATGGATGTTCTGTTCTTTCTTATTTTAATCTAAAGTACTTTTTTGTAATAATTTAATTCTTATATACTTAGATGTGAGGTTAGTTATGTCATAGTGGTGTTTGGATCCTGGGGCCTGATCCCAGGGCATAGGCACTGCCCCTAAACTTTATGCTCAAGACTATGACTTGTGGCTTTTTGGTGGTTCATTTTAGATAAGAGTCTCTTGGACGGTCCCATCCAGTATGACTTTGAACTGCAGTGTTCAGATCTCAGCTTCCTGAGGAACTAGGATTACAGGCATGAGCCGCTGTTCCCTGCATGTCAGTTTTTATCATTGTTGGTGACACACCACATTGGTAATTTACTCACTACTCTTCTCTCAGGCAAATCTATCATCACCTTTCCTAGTTTGTCCTAGTTCAGGTTGGACCAGGATCCTTTGAACCTGCAGTCAACCATGGAGCTACATCTAGCTTACTGTTTGAGATGGGGTCATGCTAACAGTTTGTTGTTGTTGTTGTTGTTTTATCAGTTGTGGGGCTTGAACTCTGGGTCTGGGTGCTGTTCCTCAGCTCTTCAGCTCATGGGTAGCACTCTACCACTTGAGCCACAGCAGCATGTCCGTGCTAACAGTTTTATTTGGCCTGGCCCTGAACTGTGTTCCTCCCAATTGCTGCCTCCCCACTAGCTGGGAATACGTGCATGAGTCTTGTGTCCAACCTCATGTAATGTTTATCAGGCACAAGGAAGGTGAAGGAGGATGTGAGGAGATGGATAAGAGACTGGGTTGGGAAGGATAATGCATGGCTCCAATCTATGCCTTAGGACCAAGGCCATGAGACTGATAGCTGGGTCTCATGTTCACAATGAGAAGCAGAAAAAGCTCTTCCCTTTCAGATGGCCTGGAAGAAATACTGGGGTTTCAACACAGAAACCTTTGTGCTTCAGTTGTGAGATGGGTGGGCCACACACTTCATTGACTCCTTCCACACTGTACACAATACAGGAATTCCTGCTTGGAGCTACTTGTCCCGTTTCTTCTTTATCATTCTAGGTAAGGGCTGAGCTTCACACTCATTCTGAGATTCAGATGATTCTTTTGCTTCTAAAGGTGAAATACAGAGGGATTACAGTTAGGCCCTGAGTCCGTTTCTTTTCAAAAGTGTCACCCCTTCCCTCAGGTTCTCCCAGTGTTTTGTCCTCATGACTCCCCTTACCCCCCAAGTGATAGAGTTCATTTCCTTTCTTTAGCTTGCATCACTGAGAAGTAATCTCCAAGGAATTTTCACCTTCTGTTCCCATTGAAATCACTCGAATATAGTGGAGGCCAGAGGTCATCAGGGACAGAGACTTCACAGTCAGGCTGCAAAATAGGACAAGCTGCTTCCTTCAGACTCTTGATTTCAGTGGACTACAATGGCAGCTACAGTGAAAGGCCTGTGAGATCTCTGCCTCACTGTCATGGGCAAGAGGGTGTTATCCTTAAACCGTGTCCTGCTTTGAAAAGACTTTGAGGGATCCAGGCTCACAGCTCACAGGCACTGGGACTTCAGTCTGTCAATCACTTTTCTAGCATTGGGAGGCTTACATCTGCAGGAAATGTTAGCATACAACTTTCTTTGCTCCAGCCAGTATCTATGAATACCTGCAACTGAAATTGCTTCAGAGCCCATGCGCTCAAGGCTGGCCACTAGCCTCTAGTGTTACTTAGGAGACAGAAGGAAGTAAGTCATGGGGTCCCCATGGCAAGGGTTGTTGGGACCTTGGCTTCTCCACTCTGTTGTTTCTTCTGCTTCCTGACCATCACCAACTCAACAGCTTTGTCATGATTTCTGCCTCCACACAGGCTCAAAGAGAGGGGGCCAAGTGACCATGGATGGAAATCCATAAAACCTTGGGCCAAAAGGATCCTTTTGTCCTTTTACAGGCTTTGGTCAGGTGTTTAGTCACAGCCATAGAAGATGACTAAAGTGGTAGTTTTGGCCTGGAGTCTGTGAGCTGCTTTTGTGTGCTACCTGTGGAAACAGGAGGTAGAAACAATAGGTTGAGGAGGCTAGCCAGCTCTATCTGCACACTGCTGTGCAGTAGGACTTTCTGTTGTGACAAACATCCCCCGAATGCTCTGCAGCCTCATAGTCACAGGTGGCTACTGGACACTTGGAATGGGACTGGAGCAATTGAGAGAATATTTACCATTGTTGGACTTGAGAAAATTTAGTTTTCATAACCCTACCTGAGAGAAAGGACTTCAGTAAAGAATGGGTGGAAGCATTCCAGGGTCATTGTCCAGAGAGCCTTTAGTCCAGGGTACAAGAGCATAGGAAATGACTGACTCCTCACTTGCAGAGGACAAGAGGTTTTCCACAAAGCACAGAGCCACACATTCAGTTTTGTCAGGGTGTCCTCATTTCTAATGGAGATCTCCTCAGAGCTGCCATCTGCTGAACACCATAACATGGACAGGATCACAAACACCTGAGGCTCATTTCTTTGGCCATACTGCTTTGCTTTTCTGTCTTAAAGATGGAAGGCTCCTAAGAATCCCTGGCTGTTTCTGAATATACAGTAGCTCATTTCAAAGCCCTCTTATCTCCGCTGCTGTTTGATGGAAGGAATCCTTTACTTGTTCAGTAAGCTTTCTTTCTATGACAAATATTGCATTCGTAACCTTCACTGATGAGTCAAGACGGATATAGATGTGATATGAGATCACATGGAGCAAAAGTAAAGGATAGTTATGTACAAGCATGAATAAGTCACACAAGTTTACATGCATATCAGTTAAAGACCCCATCAAATAAATTCCTGGAGAAACTAAGCCTGTGGGACACCCTTACAGTACAGGCTGCTTGGGTGGCAGAGGTAGCAGTATTGTATTTGTATATGTTCCTCATTCTTAGAATCATTCTTTGGAA